AAAAAAAAAAAAAAAAAAAAGATGTCTTATCCAGTGCGTCAGGGCGACCCCCTGGCGGCCCCCGTCTTCCAATTCACACTGGACGTGACAGCCTCCTTCCTCAGAAAAGACCCATCGATAGACAGGCTTGTCGAAGAAAGCACGCGCGAGCGAGGGGGAATCATGCTCCCCACCACCATCCTCTTCGCTGACGATCTGACGGTCCTGATCAGGACCTCGGGCTCCTCGTTCAGGCACTCACCAGAGAAGTGCAAGCGTTCCAGCTGGCCGCAGAGATGCACGTCAACTGGACCAAAATAGTGGGCTGGTGACTCACGGAAGACGATCTCCCCACCCCAGTGCCATTGCCACCGGGACTACGATGGCAGAGGGGTGATGAGACATTGCGCTGCCTTGGCATCCAGATGACAGAACTGGGCCTGGTGCAAGCACAGGCACCGGAGATCCTCACCAAGATGCTCAACAATATGGATAGGTGGACCGGGGTCTATACCTCCGTGTTTGGGAGGGCCCTGGTCCTTAACGCCTTGATTTTCTCGATGCTATGGTACACCGGCACAGCGTGGAGCTCGGGCACCGCACTAGGGAGACCCCCTTCGAAGTAGGGCAACGGCGTACGTCTGCCCGTCAAGGCAAAACGTCATCCCTGAAGTGGCGTGGAAATATGTGGCATTGCCCAAGAAGGATGGGCGGCTCGGCATCATAGATCTGGAGCGCCAGATCAGGGCACTACAGACAAAGTGGATAATCAAGTTGATAACACCCACCCACCTGCCGTGGCACGCACTGGCTATGCAGCAGATCGGGAAGCTGCCCAGATAGACCACACACAGCAACATGCAGGGGCAGTTCTGGCTCATGGCGAAATCTTGGGCGATGACCGGCAGGGGCAGCAATGCCACGCATTGGGCACACTTCATCAGCAACTGGAGGGAAACAATGCCTGCTAAAGTAAGACAGCCCCAATGCCGGGACAAGGTACTTCGCCAGCCGGATGGTTGACCCGCGGGCAAACCGTGGACGCTCATGGCATCAGACTTGAGGTGGGGCGCATGGTTAGAGATAGGGGTCTGGCAAATAAGGCTCATCTGGCACGAGCAGCAACAGCGTTGGAATACGACCGCCGAACTCAGAGAAACGCTCTGTGGAACCCGCAACCTCCAGGCGAACTATAATAAGACATTGACGTCGGTTCCGTCGGGGTGGTCTGACATGTTGAAGCGACCAGCCAAGTGGGAGGTCGGAGACTGGGCCACAATGAAGGGCGAAGAGACCCCGACAACAGCCCTGGCCTTTGTTGCTAGAGCTTCGCCAGATGGGAAGTGGTTCCTCTTCAGCATGCACCGCATCTGCACGCCGGGAGCATCAACTAGCCCCCTCTGCAGGAACAGTGAGGGACAGTTGGCTGTCAGGATGGGTGAATTTCGCAAAGTCAGAGTGGTGATGAACACGGAGTACACTATCTACAGTCCCACTGTTGGCATACAGGATCTCGAAATAGACCCCGTGGAGTGGGCCTAGAAGCTGAGCCGCCAACAGGGCATCCCTGCACAGCACTTCAACCTTCTACACTACACCACCAAACTCGGCTACAGACTGAGGAGCCACACACCAGTCCTGCCTGAGATCATTGCCTCGAGATGGGCAAGGTATCTGAACATCGATCTCGACGTGCGGCGAGCCTCCTTGTGGGACTCAATTCACGCCATTTGGAACACACGCGTCAGAAGCATGCAATGGCTGATCGTGTACCTCACCCTCCTGGTCGCTGAATGGCTAAGCAGGCGCAGAGCCATGCAGGAGAGACAGTGCACCCTCTGCAACCCAGGACAGGTGGAGGACATAGCACACTGTCTGCTGTCATGCCCCGAAGCCCTGCAGATATGGGATAGGGTGACCTCCTTCTGGTATACTCTCACTGGCAGCCTTATTCCTGTTGGGGTGATCCAAACCATCCTGGGCGTTCCCGTCGACTTGGGCCAGGAGGCGTACCGGATCGTACTCCTGCAGAGACTTCGCCCCAATCCAGATCTCAGTTTCACTGCTTCTGATCGTGTCAAAAAACCCGTTCGGGTTTACTATGATCTTGGAGGTTTTCTGCAAAACAGCGGAACCTGGATAATCGCATATAAATTATCACAAAAGGTGACTGCGGGCCCCGATCAAAGTCCGGTCGATTTAGGCTCCTTACCATCTGCTGATTATTCAATTCAATTCAATTCAATAATTGGAGAATTCAAGCGTGTTGACCCTGTGGACAATATGGAAGAGGAGGTGCAGTATGGTATTGCAGGGAAGCAGCTGCCGGCACAGCAAGGATGGGAGCAGCTGTTGTGTTTATTGGAAGCACAGTACTGGCTGGACTGGAACATGGCAAAGCTGCAGTCGGCACAACACACAGACAAGGCCCCCCAAATCCGCCGAGACTTTGTGTCCAAGCAGCTCGGGGATGGGTGCCTGGGCAGACTGCAGGAGGACATAATCTGCCTTACATGGTCGGCTCAGCGGGTGGGGCAGCAAGCAGTGGACAGTGACAAGCCATGGATGGGGGAGTAGACATGACTGAGAGGGAGCGGGGACAAGGGCTGGCTGGGGTTAAAAAGGCGAAGTAGACGGATGGTGCCACCACCTGGCCATAGGACCGGGGAGGGCACCATCTAGTCCCTCAATGCAGACCCCCAGGGAGTGGTCCAGGGGCCGGTGTAGTATTGCACCGGGACTGCTGATCGCAGAATGATCACTGAGGGGAGGGTTACATACGGACCCCAGGACAAGAGACCTAGGCCCCGTGCTAGACGGACTTAGAAACGGTCTATTGAGCCGAAACCAGGTAACGTCCCTGGAATTCTCATGTGTTGCTGATGCATTGTTCCGTTCCGGGACGCGCTGGACCCGATTCCCAGCAGGTGAAGCTCCCCACCAATAGACAGGAGCAACCGGGGAGGCCTGCTAGTTGGGGCTGCTCCTATCACTCCTCCTAGCAAGCCACTACCGGCTTTGCCAGAAGAAAAAAAAAGAACGGAAAATCCGTCATCTACATAGAGCACGTTAGTGCACATCCGAATCAGATGCCAGGCCCAGAACCCAGAAAAAGCCCATCCAGACGTGAAGTGAACCAAAGCAGGCCCTCCATCCCATGCATTTTAGAATCTCAGACCGTAACATTGCCCCCAAGTGCAATGGACTTTTATCTTCTTCTTTTTTTTTTTTTTTTCTTTTTTTTTTTTTTTAACACCCCCACCAGTGCTAGTGGGCAATGGACTTTTATCAAGAACAGGAAAGGGAAAATGGAACGACTTAAAACCACCATTTTGAAAGCTTGAAGTCCAAAGATCCCATACAATGTAGGGGAGGTTGTCTCGAAAGCGATGTAGTATACTCACATTATGCCGATACACACTCCCTGCACGTGTTCGCTTGCCAGGTGTTCTCCCTGCCTCTGCTGCTGGCTTGCCTGGTTCAGGTGACTTCCCAGTTTTTAAGGGTTTCAGTGAGGCCAAGTGTGCCTTAACCTGTTCACAATTACCAAGTTTAGAAAATACTCCACTGACATTCCGGAGAAATCGATCATTAAACACTTTCAAATTGACTGGTGCGCCGTGTAACTCGTGCTGACCTTTTTTTTTTTTTTTTTTTTTTTTTTTTTTTCTAACTGAACCTTATGGTTCTGGCTCGTTTTGCATTCTGGGGAGCATCAGTTTGTTTCCACCATAAGGGGGACGAAGGTGTGTGAGTACTCGTTCTAATTATTCTTTCTTTTAAGACCAAATAACACCAAATTTTCCCAACACCTGGGGGATTCTGAAGAAGTAAGGGCATACTCACACTAGGACTTTTTCCACTAAGCTCTGGACGTCATTGCAGTCATTCATCCAGGTCGGGCCGTAATTCCAGTCAGATGCATTTAGGAAAGTGCTAGTGTAAAACTCGATAAAAGTCCATAAAACTCGATAAAACTTGATAAAATTTGGTAAAACTCATAAGAGATACCTACTACTTTTTTGAAGGAAGAATGCACACAAATCTCCCAAGGGATCCCTACTGTCTTCACCCTGATAGAACGCCCAGTCATTATGGCCGCATCTGGATTGAAAGTTGCCCCAAATACGGCTATAATGACCGGGCGTTCTATTCGGGCGAAGACGGTAGTGCTCAATCTCTCACAAGGGGAGATCAAAGTCGCGTTACCAATCATTCACAAAAATAAAGGAAAAATTTCACTAGCATATGAAACTTTGTGATGGAGAACACGCCCATCTATTGCAGCTGACATACGAACTAATCGCCAGCGAAGTAAAAGCATCAACACACTTCCATGTTGGAACAGTACAACCTTAAATGACCACTGCCTCCTGAAAATCCAGGTCAATCACTGTGGACGGCAGGAGAAAACCTGGGGACATCAGATAGTCAGTCGCATGAACCAACTGAAAGACGGCAGGGCTCCTGATAACCAGGGCAGAGAGAAAATCAAGGTGGTGGATTAAGTGGAACACTCTGACGCCCAGCGGTTTACGTGGAATTCTGGCACATGGTGGTCGTTTCGATTCCGTGGTCAAAGTCCATGCTGTTAGTCGACACTTCAAGTGCCAGCTGAACTTAACACACCACAAATGTCAATAATCACTTTGTGATCAAAATGTCAATAACAAATGTGTGATTAAATCATTAAACCCTGACTCGCACTTCAACTCCCGAGTGTTTGCTGCTATCCTCTACGAGCGGCTAACGAAATCTCGCTTGATATCAGTCACATGCGCCAAACACACACCAACCGAGTGCAGGGGCAAAACAAACAAAAAGAGAAAATATGAATCATGATTGCCGCTCCGGTGACCATCACACACCAATCAGAATGAGAGGCACGTGCAAGACCAGGTTCGAGATCAAACCGCAATAACGCAAGCTTAGTAAGGACACCAGAACCAACTGTGATGGCACCATGGTTGGATGACAGTCACGTGCCGAGCAGAAGAGAGAGGGGAGTTCATGGCCCCCGGGGTCCCAGATGCTGGCGGTCACAACCGGACAATGGTACTGCAATCGGGTTCAAATGGTCTAGCTCTGTCTTATTGCAATCAGACTCGTTCTCAAACACACTTTTCATGCATGTAAACAGCAACGCAGTATACTGGTGACATGCGCCCACTCAAAACTCAGAGATATGGCTTTCAGATACGAGTTCACTCTCAATTGGCTATGGCGACTTCAGCGCCCAAACATCTCACTGTTCACATACACTGGATCACCCTGGATATCCCACACGCATC